GCTGGATAATATTATCATGTCATCACTAAGTAGTCTTGAAGTAATGACAAGCTAAATATAATAGTATAATCATGTTATTACGAAGTGATCTTGCCATATTGACAAGCTGAGAGTATATCTATATAATCATGTCATTACAGAGTAATCTTGACGTACTAACAAGTTGAGTATAACTAGATAATCATGCCATTACGGAGTAATCTCGACGTGACAAGCTGAGTATATAAGATACACATGTAAGTGAATGTCATGTAGTAGACAAGCTGAGTATATATCATACACGTGCAAGGTGAATGTTATGTCGGTAGACAATCTAAGTATATATATTGTACGAGTGTAAGCTAAATATGACAATCGTAAGTTGGTACAATACTCTAAACCTGTGTAAGGTATGTTTACCACAAGATAAGTAATAATAGAGAAATCAATATTTATATTTGACTAGGCACGCTTAAAATTTAATAAAGAAACATTTTTTAAAGTAAAAGTCTACTCACACCTTCGACTAGCTCTCTTCGGAGAGGCTTTGTCTTTGGTGAAGAATCTTCGATGCCAAAGTTAGAATTAAAGAGAGAAAGTGTTTAGGAATTTTTTGGAAGAGAATGAACTAGCATTTTAGTGGGCAAGCATGACTATTGATAAAAGAGTGACCGGCCCAATTTGGAGAATAGGGGCCGGCCACATATGGTCAAATTATGAGTGTAATTGCAAGATATTATGTGAAATAATATCTTGCAATTAACTTGGCAATTAATCCCAAATTGAATAGGAAAATTGGGAGTTACTTTTTGAGTGAGGATTTGATGAGGAGTGATGAAAGGGTTTTGAATAAATATCATTTTGATCATTTTTTACTCTTCTTTGATTGAGCCGTTATTGTCCGTTGCATGTGCATGTGAATACCGGTTTACCTTGAGGGTAATTTTGTCTTTTTCATCCAAAAGTACACGTGTCGCCTTCATAATTTTCTTGATTATTTTTTGCTTCACGGACATATCATACGATATCCTACACTAACTGTAACTAGTGTAAGCTGGATAATATTATCATGTCATCACTGAGTAGTCTCAAAGTAATGACAAGCTAAGTATAATAGTATAATCATGTTAATACGAAGTAATCTTGCCATATTGACAAGCTGAGAGTATATCTGTATAATCATGTCATTACAGAGTAATCTCGACGTACTAACAAGTTGAGTATAATTGTATAATCATGCCATTATGGAGTAATCTCGACGTGACAAGCTGAGTATATAACATACATGTGTAAGTGAATATCATGTAGTAGACAAGTTGAGTATATATCATACACGTGCAAGGTGAATGTTATGTCTGTAGACAAGCTAAGTATATATATTGTACGCGTGTAAGCTAAATATGACAATCGTAAGCTGGTACAATACTCTAAACCTGTGTAAGGTATATTTACCCCAAGATAAGTAATAATAGAGAAATCAATATTTATATTTGTCTAGGCACGCTTAACATTTAATAAAGAAAGATTTTTTAAAGTAAAAGTCTACTCGCACCTTCAACTAGCTCTCTTCGAAGGAGCTTTGTCTTTGCCAATTGGTAAAGTCATACCCAGCCCAATCACAAAAATGTCATGTCTTGAACTCCGAGATGTGGTATCAATTAATTTTTATTTAATATAATGGCTACATCTTTCGAGTTAGTCTGCCTACGTACTCTATGAATGGATCATGCTAATCGTAGTTCATCGTAGATACGAGAAATTCAACATACACTACATAAACGTTTGCATATCATACTTAGTAGAAACGAATGTTTCATCTCATCACAAGATAGAGTGACGATGGGTAGATTTTGCCCGCTGGGCTCTATTTGGCCTCTAGTGATGCTAACTTCAATATTTGAGATTCCAAAAATGTTGGCCACAAGTCAATCCTTGGTCAAAACGGTATCTGGTAAACCCCCCCTAACAATTAGTCTCATTTTGGAAGATCTGACATCAGATTTCCGATCTATAAGTTGTTTAAGGCAAACACATTACTTCTACAATAATATTATTACAATTTCATAATGATCTAATCGTCGGATCTCCACCTGCTACAAATTCAAGTGGTAGTCAATTATGGAACTGTGTTACGTTCCGTTTACGCGCACGCGTTCATATTGACGAGCATTATAATGTACTAAGATGTTATCATACATGTCATGACATTATGATCAACAAAAGTCAATTCTCTCCATTCTATGAGCATTTGGTCATTTCACACATTCAAAAGTATTTCTTTTAAATACCCTAAAGCATGTCACATAAACGACATGGAAACATCACCAATCTCCTAATTAGGTTGATTTGGACCCCACACTAGCCTAGCACAATATAAATCAAATTAATTAACACATCTAAATATATGCTAACAATGTTGAGTGAGAAGGGCAGCCATTTGAAAATTGTCAGAATGTGAGGGGCAAATGATGGAGACATCTTAACCACATTAGATTTAGAATTACATTAATGCAGTTATCCAACATGAATACCTTTTTGGTGGTCCTGCTGTGCTGTATCTCCACATGTTGGCCTAAACATCGGCAACGATTCCATCTTACAAATATGAACTTACTCGTACAAATTGGTCACTAATCCCCTTATGCTAAATACGTCCACGCATGGTACCACACTTCTTGCACTCAAGATCATAACGTTTGATTATCTCATTCTCTAATATCGTTTGTATAAATAAAACACTGATCCGTACCTAGAGAAAATTTTTAGACCGTATTTTTTTTTCTTTTATTTTTTTTTGTTATAATTTTGTTGTGAAACCCACAACATCCATATTGACTCTGTTTGGAGCACTATCGCACTGTCGTTTATAGAGAAGCAGTCCCCAAGAGTGGGACACAAATGCAAGACATACAACACTCACAAACAAAAATTTAAGCAAGAGCTCAAATCAAATCCACAATTTCAGGGGTAATTTTGAACTCACAAAATATTTTCACCATTAGAATTGAATTAAGTAACATTTTGTGTATTAAAAAAGAGCGTTGGACCATGGCACCTGGATGTCCAAAATGACCTAAATGCCCTCTATGTGTAATCATGTCAATTGCTTGACGTGCACAAATTTTGTTGAACTTGGATTATCTCCTCTCGCCTTCCCTCCTTTTCAATCTAGACTGTTCAAAAGAGATATGATGGCTTGAAATTGTCCCACATATTTAATGAGCTTAATTTTATTTTTTATTGCTTTTGTTCAACAATTCTTCCTCTTCTCCACTCATGTCCACACCACCATTTACTTTCCTTCTTATACATGCCAGGCATAATTGGCTCCTCAAGTCGATCTTGATGTTGTAGCAGAAATTAACCGTTATCTCGAAGGTCTCAAAGATATTAGGGATGTCGGAGGGACATCTTGAATTGCATTGTCGTTCTCATTGATTTGTTCAACAACCCTCACATGCGTTATACAACAAAACTAGATGTGAGGGAGAGAAATAGGAAGACAGAGAATGCTCCCCCAATTTAATTTCAACATATGTAAACGAAGACACATTACCCCTTGAAGAAAATTTTCAATTTATCAACCCACAAAAAATGTATTATGTTTCAACGTATCTTGTGAATCTAAATTCTCGACTACTAAATATTGGTCATTGAAACGACAATAAATTTCAAACTATGAGATCTACAACAACATACTGGAAATTTCTATCAAACCATGCCAAAACACGAGGACATCAAACCGAAAACAACTTACATAGAACGAGTTCAAAACCATCATAGTGTCTCCAAAAATACATTTTTATGTGAAGAAAACCTTACACATAACAATGTATCATTAAACCGTGACGTCACACAGCAGTGAACGCTTTCTATTTTACTCTCTCCATCAAACCCTATAAGTCAAAAACAAAAATTGAGAAGCAAATGTTAAAATCAGAAAGGGGTCAGAGAAGGAAGGTCCAAAAAAGTCACTGAAACTGAAGGGGAAAGGAGTGCGTGGTGCCCAGATCGGCATGGATACCATTCAAAGGGCTTTCAGAAGCCATGTGAGGGACTGACTCTGTGGCCCTTCCTTTATATATTAACCCTTGTTTAAAACAAAAATTACAAAATAAGACAAAAGAAAGAGTCCTCCAAAAGCAACCCCCTTTACTCGCATGAATGGACAACTACTTCTTTTCTTTCTTTTGTTATTATTTTTACCCCTCCTTTTTGTCATAATTTTCCAAATGCGCATAAAGTTTTCTTTTCTTTTATGTTCAGACAGCCTAGCTCATATAATGGAGAAGAGATCCTTTCAGGAACTCTTATACCAATGTTACCGGATCAAGTGGTCCAGACTTTCGAAATTTCATTCAACGGTTAAAAATTATTATAACTTTTAAATGGTCAAAACAGGTAGACCGTTGGATAAAATTTCAAAAACCCGAATGATTTGATCCGGTAACCTTGGTGAAAATGATCCGAAAATGAACCAAAGATAATTCGATTGCTTTAATAGAAAAGATCCGAATATGATCTCTTTTTCATATAATGTAATTCTAGATTAAGCCTCAAGATGGAGCCAGAGGGACTCAGCTTTTTACCCTCCCTCCACTGAGTCATCTCCTCTGCTGCTTTTTCCTTTTGGGGGCTCCATTTCAGTACAATTGTTATGCTTCTGCCACACTTGCTCACTACTTTATTGGCTATCCCCAACGAATATTCTTTTCCCTTCTAATTTATGTGCTTCGTGTTCTTTTTACTTGAATGGTTACATTAAATTCATATTAACATTTTATATTATTTTTTAACAAAAACACAAAAACAAAAATAAAAATATGAAAGAAGTAGAAGAAAGAAGAGAAGACAGAAGAGAAAAGAATCCTACTCCATCTACAACAATCACCTCTCAATCTGATCCAGAGTTTACGTCTCTCTGGCAAAAAAAGGGAGCCCCTTAAATCAAACATGTACGGTCTCACACTAATTGGTGACATTCTAATTTAATAATTTATCTTCATGCGGAAGAAAAAAACTTAAATATAAATTTATATTTATTTACTTAGCCATAAACCGGTTACATATAAGTCTGAAGTGGTAAAATAAAAAGATAAGTAACCCTAAATTAAAATATCATATGAAAGTTGATATGTTACATTGTTACAGCTTGCTTGCTGTGGTCCAGCCAGCACATACCTATGGAGATAGGGCAGAGAGTACTGAAATAGACCCCACTAAAATAAATCAGTCCATCTGTTTTTTTATGTATACAATTAGGTATTATTATTCTAAATAGTATACATACATACATACATACATACATACATATATATATATATATATTAATGACAATAGTGATCTTGCTGAGATCTTGTCTGCAAGTTTGCTTTGATATAGGTATATGCTTTTGGCTATATAGCTAGACGATCTTTTTCTTCCTTTTGTAATCCTTCTCAATTGTTTCTGCAAATTAAGAAAGTATACAAAATGTAATTACTACCAAGAACGAGGGATTTTTTATGGTGCTCTGGAGTGTTCTTTACTCTGAATTTTAAACTGTTAAGTTATTAGTTCAAGATATAATGATCAAGATTCTTGTTCTAGAGTATATAGATACTCCGAAGCACCATAAAATTTTCACATGAGTGATCACTTTGGCTAGAATTGTGTATAATAAGCTTATAAGAATCTTGCAAGAGATTGAAATGTATGCTTACCCTACCAGTAGCAAGGTCATTTCTCCCCCAATGCTGCCCATGCTTGACTTTCTTAATTACATTCCAAAAGAAAACCTAAAATGTTAAAATTAATAATTTGTTTATTTTTTATTTTTTGGTCTTTATATGGATCATAGCAGTGGTAAAGCAAAGCATATGTGTATGTGTGTGTTTTTGTTTGTATTTTGTTATATGGGGAAAGAAGAAGTGACAGTACCTGGACATTTGGAAAGAACAGATTTTGGGGAATCTGCATTTGGGGTAGAAGTGGTGGGCAGTAAATTATCATTAATATTGTTAGAAGAAATGGTGGTGGTTCTGGTGAAGCTTTCAGTATTGACTTGTGCAGAAGCAGTAGTTGAGAAGACATTTATTTGGTCTCCAGCAGCTGATTTCTTTGGAGATGCAAATAGGTTATCAGGGAGAATGTGCTCCATACTGCTTTTCAAATAAAAAAAATGAATTAACATTGATTCGAACATTATATATTTATTCAGAAATTAATTTGAAGGTTAAATTTATTCTGCTCAAAACCTTTCATGCAGGCTAAAATCATCGCCATTGTTATCTTCATTTTCATGATTAAAAGTTGGATTCATCTCCTGCTGCAGTTTTTCAGCTTCATCATATTCTGCAAGAACATGCAATGTGAACAAAGCATAAATGAACTAAGCACCACTAATTGGTAATGGAAACCGATTTCACCACACCCATTTTCTCTTTCTGCACACAGCTTATTCCCGACCATTGAGTCCCCTGTAATTTACTCAGTCCAATCATCAAAAATAAGCAGGGGTGTGCATGTGGATAAGAAGGGTGTGGAAATCACTTCCCTTGGTAATGCAACTATCTTTCTACATCAAGAACTCTAGAAACACATTGATTAGCAAACCTTGTGGGACTTCTTCATTATTGCCTCTAGGTGAAAAATTGAAGGATTGATTTTTGGATGCATGTGACAAAGTGGGTGAAGGAAATGGAGACCCTTCTGATAAACCATTGTAGTACTGATTCTGATGATGAAGATTGTTGGGTTTGATGCCTAGAAGTTGGAGGTTCATAAGTCTCCTTTCTTGGATTTCAATGGCTTGCTGCAACTTAGCCTGGTCCTCTAATTTCCTTCTCAAAAGCATGTCTTGTGTATTGTAAAACGTTCTTGATCCTACAAAGACATCAAAGAAAATAAGATTCATAGTGAATCCTCATTTTACATGAGCTGTTGTATACCATCAAAGGACCATGTTTTCTTACCAGGATTGAGATCATAATGCTCTCTTGAATCGATCGCGGACAGGCTTCTACACAGATGGTAGTCTTCCCTCTCAAATTGTTGGTGTTGTTGCTTCCTGGAATTGTCAATTCAAAGCAAAATTAACAATGTGGAAGGAGGAAGGCAAAAATTGTAAAAGCAAAAACGAAACCAGAAGACTCAAAAATGCACAACTTACTTGTCTGGGATTTTGCCTTTCTCCTTGTAAGGCTTCACAAGCACCCGAGAATCGCATACGAAATGAGGATTCCCTTTCGCCAAAATGATCTTCACAGTCTCGGAGTAGACGAATGTAACAAATCCAAACATCCTCTTTTGCTGGTATGGAATCCTCACATCTTGCACTGGTCCATAAATGCTTCAAAACCACACAAGTTCTCAGTTTTAAGTACTTCATCAGGTTGCTAGAAGGAGAAAAGAAAAACCATTTAATTACCTAAAATAATTAGAGACATCTTCTTCTCGAAATGTACTATCAGCTGGAAATGTCAAGTAGATCTGCCTTGAACTGTGATTGACATTTCCTCCCAAATTTAAAGTCGAAAAATCGTTTCGATCATGTTGGTATCTCCCAAACTTGTGAACTTCATCACCCATCATCAATGCAGATGCTGCTGACCTGAAAAAACACATGAAAAATCCAAACAAAATTCATTTAGAGGCAATAACTTTATGCAAAAGTTAAATTTAGTAAGAACCAAGCTTGAAGGACATTTTATTAGAGTGTGGTCAGTTTTTTTACTGAAAATTTGCAGCGGAAAGTATGGAAAGTTAAAGACGACTTGATCTGCTTTATTCGTAAAACTGAAGCGAAACACAAAGTAGATCGGAACATCATACCCCAAATGATTCCGGATAAACAACCAAAAACTGTAAATACATTTAACTACCACTTTAGTTAATATTACAAGTATATATATACCTTGGAGAGTCATTTTGTTGTTGCATAAGAAAATCCATGCACTTGTTGTATGGGAAGGAGGAAGCATCACCACCGCGGCCAGCCATGAAGTGTGACACTGCAGCCAGTTTCTGCTGCTGAGCAGCGGCATTGGATCTGATTATCTCCTGGCACTGTCCAATCACATTGGCATTGCCTGGAGAAACAACATTAACTGAGCTGCCGCCGTGGAGAAAACGGCAGGTGCTGCCGTTTTTACAGAACCCTCTTGAATAATACAAACATGGTTTCCATCCACCCCCAGAATTCAAATCTTCAGATCCATAAAACAAGTCATCAGTTTTTGGATCACTGAGAAAAGAAAGATTGCTCTGAAACTGGTATTTGTCAACAACTTCGCTACTAGAAGCACAGAGAGAAGTAGGGTTAGTGTTTTTGGTAAGAATACTGGCATAAGACGGAGAAGAAGCAGCAGAGGGGCTTACGGAATTGGAGAGGCTCCAAAGGTTTGAGGAAGAAGAGGAGGAGGAGGAGGAGAGGGACAAAGGGGTAGGCCTAGAGATGGGATTGAAAGTAGCAGAAGTAGTGGTATAAGTAGTAGTAGGGTTGTCGGAGGGAAGAAGGGAGAGTTGGGTTTTGGCGTTGAGGATGAGATTGTGCAGGAGAGTTTCTGGTCCAAATGCCAAGCGTATCATCTCCTTGTCGCCATGGTCTTGCAGCAGAAGGCACCCCATGATTTTTGAGGCATTTTCTGGATCCAAGCTTTGGATCCTTGAGAAAACAATCTTGGTAGCTTCATAAGAATCCATGGAGAAAAACAACACAAACAACTTGAATGTGTTTTCTATAGAGAGAGATTGAGGGGGGGGGGGAGAGAGAGAGAGAGAGAGAGAGAGCAGTGGATCAGTGGAGTGAAGCTGGCCCTTTTGTTTTTATATATACACATATACGTATATGTACATACAATAATAAAAAGAAGGGGAGCAATAATGGGGTGGATGATTATTTTAGTATAATGATTGTTATTGGGTATACAAAAAGGGAAAAGGGATTTTATCCGGATCCATTCTATTTAATCATTTTTATCAAATAATTTGGATTCTAAAATTTTGATCTAACGATTAAAAACACACACTCATTTTAAAAATTATAATAATTTTAACTATTAAATCAAATTTCAAAAATCTGAATTATTTAATAAGAATGATTAGATAAAAAGATCCGTCCCTGTCCGACAAAAGGAGAGGCAAATGTATGAGTGAGTAGGTGAAGCTTTATTTAAGGACTAGATTAAGCTGTGGTGGTTTCAACTTGAAGATGATTTGGTGGAACAAAAAAGAAAAGAGAAAGTATCAATTCAATTCAAGGGTGCCTTGATGACAGCACAAAAATCCTGCACAAGCTGCAGCCTTGGGAGAGTAAACTAGCTCTCACAGTCTCACTCACTCACTCACTCACTCACTCGTTACTTTCTCCATCCTCCATTCTCTCTCTCTCTCTCTCTCTCTCTCTCTTTCTTGAACATGGTAGTTTCTTCAAGGTTTTGTTGTCTTTACACAAAGAGACAAAACTAGACAAAGTGGGAGAACTGAAAATTGCTCCTCGTGGCAAAAAAATAGAAATTAAATCCTTGTGTTCAGATCTATTAGGAATCAAATTCAAAATTAAAAGTTTCGATAATTCTTTTGTTAATAGGTTGCACATGAGTCCTCACATGTGAGTTAAATCTGCCATTTTCTTGTACCTTTCAATTTTGTACTGAGAACAAAGAAAGAAAGAACTGAAACCTTCTCCACCGTCATGCGTCACCCCCAAGTTTTCCCAATCAAGATCGACGTACCCCACAGTCACAGCCAATTGTAGCTAGTTGATCCAACCAAGGAGACCAATCTTTTAAGATGCATCATGTTAAACCAATTATCAGTCGTATTTTTTGTTTTGCTGGTCCAACCAAGGAGACCAAACTTTTAAGATCCACCATATCAAACCAATTATCTGTCGTATTTTTGGTTTTGCAGGCGTTACTTGCTTTGGATTGGGATTGTTCATAAGAGGTCAGCCTAGTCGATTTCAGGTGGTAGAGAGAGAGAGTGTGTAAGATAAAACATATTTTTAGAAGTCGTGTTCTTCATTCATTCAACTAATGTATATGTAGTTACAAATACAGAGGGTTCAAACAAGATTACAACTCTTTTGAATACTATTTGATATGTATATCCGCAAATGACAAATATTTGAATTTAAGCTATAAAAAAGTCATAGACCCGATTTGGAAATAAGAGTGGAGGAGTAGTGACACGCCCTAATCCCGATGTCTGAAGGACAACGGTATGGCCATATGTTGGCCGACACCCGAGGGTGACACAAGCCATTTCATGAATGCATATGCTAAGAACATGTGAAACATGCATATAAATTTCGCACGTAACTACGCAATGTAATATTCAAATACAAACCTTACAAAATGATATAATAATATTCAACTGCCAAGTTAATAATAGTGATAATGCAAGACATGTTTAGAGCATACTACTAATTTAGAATACAAACAAAAGGTACAATAGAAGGTGCTATTACAAGAGATGTCCAACGCGGAGAAGAGGACACGAGTTCACTAATATGGGAATGCCTCGTAGCTCGGATGATATGCCTCGTTCTTAGGTCTTAAGGGGGCGCAAAACAAAACATGGGCGGACCAAGTTTATATATATAGTAATACTAAAACAGTTATTCATCAACGTACTAACCCTCAGTTTATGAAAACTCATATAGCATAATAAGTAATAGGTTTTCCGAAAACCCTAGCATGCTATAAAACCTTCATAAAACATAACTCATATATAGTGTGCTTAGTAGTGGTATCACAATTGCCCGAAGGCATATATAAATATCTTTCGTCTGAAGGCATATATAAATCTTCCGCCCGTAGGCACTACATTGTCTGCCCGAAAGCATACACAAATCTTTCGCTCGTAGGCACTAGATCGCCTGCCCGTAGGCACTACATCGCCCGCCCGAAGGCAATATATCATTTTCCCAAAGGCACACATGTATGAATATCCACTAAGCAAGCACATAAAATCATGAACATAATCCTTCCAAAATATATCACATCAGAGCTCAATAACTCAAACATCATATCATAAATCATATTCATAAATATTTGAGTAACATAAATTCGATAAAGCATGATATTTCATAAAGCATAAATCTAATTTACTCATAAACGTCGTAGTCATAAAATCATGCTTTTCATGTATGCATTTCTAGTAATAAAATCATGCATTTTGGAAAGGGTCCACTCATAGATACACTCTCATCGAAGAGCCATTCGAACTAGGGTGGACGGAAACGCCACTAACAAACGCACCTAAGCACATAAAGGGACCAATTAATAAAATTATACTAAAACGATTGAATTTGGAAAAATGGAGGTTGTAAACGGATTTAGGACGAAGAAAAACCTAAAGGGAACCTCGGGTACTGTCTCGCACTACCATAGGGTGGCGGCTTGGAAGGCCACGAGCCACAACACGTGTCGCCACACGCCAAGTTGGGTCGCTGAACAAGTTGTCAGGGTCGCCGTCCACAGCGACGGAGCACAGTACCTCCAACGAAGGCGCGTGTGTTCCATGTGCCAGCCATGGCAAACACCCAAGCGCGCCTACGTGTTGACCTAGAAACTGGGAATCGGTCGGGTCGAATCATATCCTGGTCAGATCTAAGTTTTGGGTTTTCTTGGTTGGGCCAGTTTCTGGGCTTGGTTTAGTGGGCCAAAGTTTTGGGTTGGGCCAGAAAATATGGTCTAAGGGTTTAGGTCGGGTAGAAAGGTTGGGCTAGGATTTAGGTCAGGTCAACCCGGTTTCAGGTTGTGGGTCAGCCGGAAATTGGGCAGAGCTTTTAGAGCTCCGTTCGAGCTTATTTCTTCACCATTTTCAACATACAAGCTATGGAAATTAAGCTTAGGACGAGAGGAAGAAGTTCGTACCATTTTGGAGATGTGTCGTGGCCGGAGTTGGTCAAAAAATCGTTTTGAATACACGGGTTCTCGTCGGAATTTGGGGAAAGCTCACTCCGAGCTATTTATGTGTTTAACAAGTATGTACAACTTAAAACAAGCTTCAATCTAACCTTAAAACACACCCCAAAGGTTTCAAGGGACTTACCCACGTCAGAAAAGCCACAAAACACGTTGGGGTTCGTCGGGAGAGGTGTGAACAGTGACTTTATCACTGTTGAGGTTCCACGGTTTGGCACAGGGGTTTCAAGGTCTCCGCATCCAGTTGGTGAGGGTTGTGGATGTTGTTGTTGAACTCGAGGAGGAAGAGTAGAAGTTGCAGAAAAGAGAGAGCTCGGGGTAGAACTTAAGGGAAAGAGAGAAAGTGAGGGGGAGAGAGAGTGAGGGATAAAGAAATCAGAAAAAAAGGAGGGAATCCGGATAAGGACAGGGATAAGGGGACAAGAATCCCTATGTGGGTCCCACGGTTTGCAATTTAAGATTGCATAATATGAAACACAAAATATCCGAAAAATGTTCGACGTTTCGAAGTAAAATCTTCGTTACAAATCCAATTTCAAATCCGTTCACGCTTACGCGTTCGTGGCGATGAGTACGATAAGAATAAATTATTAAAATTAAAACTACGCGTTTCGACGAGGTGGTCAGCGAAAGTCAACTCAAGGGTAATTCGGTAATCTAATAAATCCGATGATATGAACATACAACAAATTAATGATGGGGTTTCACAAGTAGAGAGAAGAAAGATAGAGAGATCACATGGAAGATGAGTTGGTGAAGAGGATATACAGGCAACCGGAGTTTCTATTACTGCCCAACCATAACCCTAACTTAGGCTAAAACTAAAAGGATGATGAAATGACAATTGTAGCCCTTCAATAGAAGAATTAACATAACTTTCAATTTTGGGCTTGAACCTAACGGATCTCATAAGAAAGGTTTAATTCCCTTTTTTTTTTTTTTTTTTTTTTAACTTAAGAGCAGTCTTCAGAATATCCTTGTTGAGGCCTAAAAATGTCACATGCAAGCCTAATGAAGCCTCAAAGCCTAATCGCTATACGAGCCTCAAGTCAAGCCCGAATACATGCAAAAGTGTGGAATCAAAGGAATATATTTGCAATCATGCCACGCTACGGTAATTAAGCCAGGAATTTATGTAAATCACACCATGCCCATGCCTATTTATCACGCCAAGCTCTATCACGCTAACTACTACTCACGCTAAAATAAGCCCAAGTCATATGCTCTGGGTTTGCCAAGTGAATTGTGGTGTGAATGGTTACGGAAGTTTATCGGGCCTACGTAGAGTCAAGATTATGAAAGGCTTTTGGTTGCTTGGGAGCCCAAAGATCCAAGCCCATAACCTTTGCAGTCCATGAGGACAAGTTTGAAAGAGATAATCAACTTAGTTTCCCCCTTTCCCTAGGAATTAACTTTACCAACTTAGTTAGGAGTGAACCAAGTTCTTTAGTCATAGAATCACGTGAAGAGCCAACAAAGCATGCATTAATGGCTGACTTTCCTATCTTAGTTCATGCAGAAGATCAACGCACAAAAGCCATGAGGTGCACAACCAGAAGTAGTGTCTGTGAAAGGCTGACCTGAGAAAACAGTGCCATGGGAAGAAGACATGATGCAGGTTTCATGAGGTGGTAGCGTCTAGCCATCTTGCACCAAAACAGAGGTTGCTAGAGAACTAGGGGAAAATGGGAGAAAGGACTAAGCCACAATTAGAGATTCCTTAGGAACCTTAGAAAGGAATCATTTAACTAGAAATATAGATCAGAAGCCATTAGAATGGGCTAGAACATCGTAACAGAAAACCTCAAAATCTAGAAAGCAACACCCCTGCAACCTCAATGTTTTT